TGCGTGATCTCTGGCGATACGCGTCGGCGACGCTGAGCCAGTTCGCTAAATGACGGAATCAATGGGACAGAGTACTCTTGTCGCGGGCGTGCCTGTGGCTCTACAAAATAGCCAACATACTCCTTAGGCGAACTGGTGTCGGAAGATGGAATCGACTCAGGCTGTGATAGATTTGGTTTTGTGGGAATATCCGACGTCATCTGCGGCCTCAAGAGATCCTGCGAAGATCGTGCGATAGGATAGCCAGCAAAGCTTCCAGAATCAACGAGTTGGGGTACAGGTGGATATCCCACGATGATAGGCTGTTGTCCCGCACTGCGAGGAGGCTGCGAATGCGAACGAAGGGAACTTGTTTCGCTCGCATTCGAAGCGCGATGCACTCCTCGGTGTACACCAGGTATGCTGTTGCTCAAAGATGGCGAAGAAGGATTGGTTCGAGACCCATCTTGGGAGCCAGTGGGATCCGATTGGGGAGCAGTAAAAAAGCCAGGATAATGGTATAGGAAGCCCTGGGGAAGAGCGCTTGGCGGTATCCCACGCTCAGCCAAACGAGGACTTTGTCGACCATTCACATAGGGCGACTTCTGCGGCGATCCATTTGTGCTGTTAGACGCTCTGCCCTGCGCTTGTGCTTGGGCAACGGCGTGAGCGTGCATCTGCGCGGCTCGCACTTGATGTGCTTGCTGAGCGTGTTGCTGAGCAGCAAGCTGAGCACGTAGAGAGTTCGATTGCATTTCCAACATCTGGTACTGTTGATACAGCTGGTCATGTAGCTGGTCATGAATTCCTCGGGGAAAGCTGAAGTATTCTGGACCAGCGCTCGCTGGAATAGGTGGACTATGCAGAAAGGGTGGTCGACCCTGACCGTAGTTGGAGCTGCCGGAAGATCGCCTACTGCCTCCATGCTGGCCTTTTAGGTTGAAGCCGCCTCTACCTCCTCTCGAATTCGGGCCACCTCGTCCGTTCCGGTTCGGAACGCTGGAGGTAATGATGGCTTTCTGGGATTGCGGCTTCTTGAAGATCGCGTTAGACTTCTCTTCTGGCGGATACTCAAATTGCTCGCAAGCTTTGTCAAGCTGCTGGCCATCTGCAAGGAGGTCGAAAGCGCGGCGGAGCTCCAGGTGTATGCCCCGCCATGCATAATCGTCCGCGGAATTTCCAAGGTTTCGATCAGTATTGAAAGGCTCCTCTACACAGAGGCGATTGACACCTTCCTTCTGGCCACCGCCAGGATGCCACCCCTTCTCCTCTCTCGGTATCCGTTTGCCTTGACGTACTGATATCGTTTCTTTCTCATAGTCGATTTCGTGACCATAGAGACGGAAGAAATGGAATAGCAACTGGCCCAAGCTTTCCTTATTGTCATCTCCGTAGCCTCTCAATCTGTCGACGTCGTCGGCGAAACTCGATAATGAAGGCTGGCCGGTTGTCTCGTCTAACGCTCGATCGGGAAGGTCATGCAGGGTAGGGAGGACCGGTGGGTCCCGGGTCTGGAGGAAATTGAGGATCAAGCATATCCATGTATACGAGCTAATTGTGCCACCAATGCCTGAGCGATGTTAGATTAGGAGGAGACGGGTATGCGACAGACTGACCAGCATCGTTGAGGATCCGGCGCTTTGTCCAGTGCTTGATTATCATAGCGAGCGGCCGAACACGATCGTCGAGCTGGATGTATGTCTTGATCATGCGCGTATTCTCGATTGCGGCGACGTTGTTCACATTGATGTCGCAGGAGATTTGCAGCTCAGGGTCCCAAACTTTTACAATCCGCACTTTGGCTGCTGGTATGCATACCACACGTTCCATGCCGTCTAGGGAGATTAGTCTAAGTCAAGCTGAATCATGGTAGCAACGTACGTTTGTCCAAGGCCTCAGCCAGGGGGTGCATTTCTTCGAGCCTTTTCATGGGCGTTTGAATGCAAATGTCGACTGTCCATGTTAGTGCGGGCCTTTTGATGCGGGTTGGAACATACCATCGCTTTCGGAGGTCCACAACATGTTGCCAGAGGAGCCAAAGACGTGGACCATGATCTTGGTGCCTGGGAACTCGGTTTCGAGTATGCCCTGCATCTTCTTTATGAAGCGTTCTCGGATGTGGGTGTCTTCCTGTTTCGGCTCTAACCGGTCGTATAGCTCTCGCATGTCTCCGCTCAACTTGTCATCCTCGTGGGGATCCAGACTCTTCTTGGGCTCCTCTTTGGTTCTTTCGAGTATCTCGTCTGATTGGTAAGGCATGCGTCTCCGGCCCAGCATACCGACGTTGGTCTCGAATCTGCACTTGAATGGGCGCGCGGGTCTCAGCGTGGGCATGGTGCCGTTTGCTTCGGACGAGACGGAGCGTGGCGAATGGCTGCCCAGTCCGCCGTTTGGCGACGGGGAGCGTGAGCGCGTTGTGTATTTGCGGGCGACCTGCAGGGGCGTCGAGGGGACGGAGTTGGAGTGCTGCGAGACGATGGACGGGCGCTGGGCGCGCGTCTGGGCGCCCGCCTCTTCCCGTTTGCTCGACATATTTGGCAGACGGTTTGATGTCATCGTGGGCGCGCTGGTGGGCACGCTACGCTGTGTAGCCTTATTCCCATCTGTGGTATTGTTGTGCGCCTGGGCCGTCTTGACGGGAGGCTTCTTGGAGAGGGTGCGGCCTGAGTCCCGCTGGGGCGGCGGGCTCAGCGAGTGGGGAGACACAATTACGGCGGGGAAGGGCGTGTGCGAGGCGGATGGATGCACTTCGTCGATACGCGCGAGCTGCAGGAAGGGGTGCAGCAGCAGCTGGGGCGGCACGTGGGCGTAGTGGATGTGCGGGTGCAGTGGGTGTCGAGGGAGCGGTAGGGGGGAGTAGGCGGGGGCAGCGAGGGCGGGCGAGGAGGGTTTGGTCCGGCGAGGGTCGGAATGAATGAGCTGGGGATGTTGGAGGTAGAGATATTGTGGGTTGTTGTGGCGGCGGTCGCTCATAAACTTTAGTGGGCGCTCACTGGCTATGGCAATGGCGGTGCTCGCGGAGGGGCGGCGGCGGCTCGGGGGCTAGGGCCGTGGGCGGGAGCAGAGAGAGATGCTTCCAGAGCAGGTGAAGGCAGAGGGCTGGAGCAGAGGAGCCCGCGGTGAGGGCGTACTCGGAATTCGGCGTCGTGAGAGGGTGGTGCGTGAACCCCTGCCGTGAGAGCCTGGTCCGCACTCGTCGCTGCGAAGGTGCTAGGGATCCGGCGTCGACTGTGGTTCCGCCGGTCAGCGCTAAACAATGGCGGGATGCAGACGCAGACGGGAATCGAGGCACTGCAGACGGCGGGCGGAGCGGTGCAGAGGACGAGGTCGACAGTCTGTGAGGTTGTGTGCAGTGCAGCGGCATGCATGGGCATAGGCATAGGCATGGGCATGGGCATTTGGGCCACACCTAGGTCCTAACGAGGGATGAACGCACAGGGCTGCCTCTAATGCGCTTTGGGACGTGTGACGGCGACAGGGGCGCCTTCTCCATGGCCCATACACATACAACACGCCATGTAATCTATCCTCTGCTGCTCCATGGCGGGGGGCTGCCCGATGTCTTTCTGGCCTACACCACCACCTTGCACTCCCACTCCCACCGCCATCACCACCGCGGCGCTGGCCTTCCCCGCGCCCAGAGCACTGGACAAGGGAAAAAGGGAAAAAGCACAATCCACGCCACACCGTCAGCCGTCATCAGCCCTGGCCGTGCTGGCTGGCCGTGCGGAGACGGTAGTGTTCAACGGGCCACTCCGCCGTGCTTCTACGCTACATGACAGCTTCCTGTAGAACTCCTGTTAAGCTGCAGCATGGGCGTCTCCTGTCTCGTGCAGCCCGTGTCATAGGACATGACGCCTACTCGTGAGATTGTAGGGGCTTGCTGCATCGCAGTCAGACCGCCCGCCATGTCCTCTGCCTCGGACATTGTTCACCAACCCTGTGTCACCGTGTATTTCTGGTCTCGTCCCATCTGCATCTGACCGGTATATCACCGCCGGAGCAGACGCAGGGACAGCACCAACGGCGGCATTTCGTAATGACCAAGGTACCCGCGCCTCCGGTTCCAAGTATAGCCACCCGCCAGAGTCTTGATGTCAGAAGACGGGCATTCTCGCGTTTGTCGACTTGTTTCGACGCGGTAAATTGGGGCTCCAAAATATGCACCCAACTGGCTACGGGCGGACTCTGTTTCAGATGCCGACTCTCGGCTCATCACGTGACGGCCGTGCCCATCATGTCCACGGCTACGCAGGCGCAAGCGCAAGGGGCCTTTTGGCTACGGCAGGCGCGTTGCACCGATGGGGAAGCGACTATGTCATTCCCTCCAGCCGAGGCTTCTCCGCTTGAGGCGCATCGACTATGGCATTTCTCCGCCCACGACCATCTGTATTGTTCGCCGCCCGTGGACCTTCTCTTCGATCATTTTCTTCAGCCATGGCTCAGCGACGCATTGGTAGGCTGCTTAGCGACATCTTGTGCGACAATAGCTGATGGACCATAGCGAACCCCGCCCTCTTGTATGCAGACCACAGCCGTGACAATTCCCTTCTAATATCATTACAGCATCTGCGATCTTCAAGAGAAGTTTCGTCCAGCCATTTATGAGTTTCCCAAAGTCGTCTCCACGGCACAAAAGTTGCTGAAAGCGAGTATGCTCCACATTTTTTGTCCAACACCGTGTCCCAACTCCAATAAGACACCAACACCACCCTCTAGGCTTGCCACCCGCTGAGCGTCAGCCTGAAGCTCTCAGGCAGGCTCACCAAAACCTTTCATTATACTTTCCGCCCCGCGTGCTTACTGCTGACCAACCCTTTCAGGCAAATTACTGAACATTCCAGTCTTCGCGACTACCCAGAACAAAGGTAGGTTACGGCTGTACGAACCGTATGTGAGACATGTACTGACGTAGTCCTTCCGCCTCCGTAGCGCGATTGGGCGAGACATGTCCGGAGCTGAAGCTGGATCAGCCTGATGGCATCAATACAGTCTGTCATCTTGACAAGACATTGTTTTCGATGGTGTAAGCCACAGCACAAGGCATCTGTGCGTCAATACTACTTGCTGACTCATGGTAGAACACCAGAAGTCAAGCAAGCACTAGACTCGCTCAACGCCTCTGGCCCACTCTCCTGCATCATTGTCGGCATCGAGAGCCACATCTGTGTCACTCAGACCACACTCGATCTCCTCCGGGCCGGACACCAAGTCTATGTCATTGCTGATGGCGTAAGCTCGTGTAATAAAGAAGAGGTGCCGATCGCTTTGGCAAGGCTACGCCATGAAGGTGCCGTGGTGACCACTAGTGAGAGCTTCATGTACGAATACGTTGGGGACGCTAGTACACCCGAGTAAGTGGAATTGCAGTGTCGAAGGGTGATCTATTATGGACTAGGTGGGCTAACAATAAATAGATTCAAAGACATCATCAAGGTGGTCAAAGAGACGTCGCAAAGCACAAAAGAGGCAATGCAGACGCTTTGTAAAATCTGAGATGATCAATTCCGAATTATCGCATCGTTGTCACATCAGTACCACTTCCAGTAGCTATTTTACAAATCCATGTCCATGAATAAAGCAAGCCCGTCCCAACCACCTGATGCGTAGCACTCGCATATTTCTCCATGCAATTGGAATCTCTCCAGTTTCGCGGCTCGAAACATCCCACCTTCATTTCCCCGGCCCATCTTCCTACAGCTCTCGGCCATTGACTGGGAGCATTGGCAAGGCCACATTCTTGATCTCCCTCGTCTTAACAATTCCAGTCCCTGATGGCTTGCCGGCCTGTTTCGCGTTTCCCCTCCCTTCCAGACCTATGGCAAGTCTCCTCGGCGTCGTCCGTGGGGGCACAACTGGAGCAACCTACAGTGACCCTCCATATGCCCCCATGCAGTGTAACGCTGGGTTCTGACATGCGTTTTGACTTAATACACGTACCCCAGAATATACCCCACATTAGATCACATTGATTACCTCATATGTAGATTACACCGTTGCAGGTAGACTTTACGAACTGGTCTTGGCACGGACGAGCGAGACTGAACACTGTCGACCTGTAGTGTTTGTGATGGCATTTCAAGTCGAGGAATGAGGTTATCGAGTTATTTAAGCCACTGGAAAAGAATACTTTCGTAGTGATATGCCATTCCCTATCCACGAGAATAATGTATCGGCGTTGTGGAGTTCTGGCGTCTGCCAAAATCCATGCCAGCACACGCAACTTAGTCGCCTGGAGAGGGTGATGCATACGAGTTGAAGAATTTCGTTGCAATATAGTGCGAATTTTTCTCTGTCGGCTTTGAAAGACGCTGCTTCCTATCCCGATTGAAACAGCTCGCTCTATGCATTCTTCACACAAATGTCTACGACTCGTTCTTGCGTTCAAAATACACCGCACCATCCCCATAGCCTTGAACCTTCCCCTCCAATACCTCATCGATTACTGGTGCCTTGAAACCATATCGACCCCAAAAGTCTCCTGTACCATAGACGGAAACAAGACCAGTAGTTGCATATTCCTTAGCAACAATCTCCAAGCTCTCGTGAAGACATTGATGCGCGAGCCCATATCTACGGAATTCGGGCAGAATAGCAAAGTCATGGATGTAGTACTGATCCGCATCCGGCCTGATTTCGCCGAGAAGCTGATTGAGAGCTGGGGGCTCGCATTTGCGAATGGGATGCGAGACCATATATCCGCAAATTCCACCGGTTTCGTCAAAGAGACCTTGGCAGCCTTGCGGGAATAACCTGGCGCGTTCTGCGAAGACTTCGTCGCTTTCAGGGAGGTCGGGATGGATCTTATCAGCTACTTGGACGAGGCTGGCAATGTCACCGGCGGATAGCGGACGCCATACTGCTTTAATCTTAATGTCCACTTCCATTTTGCCTTGTCCGACTGTGACGCGCTGTTTGAATTTCCGAAGGTCCTATCGTGAGGTGGCCAGGTGTAGCCACGTACGAACCTTGGAACACCTCCTCAAAGGGTACCACCGCTAACCAAGATGCATACACAAGTCTTTTGAAATGAGTCTAGCAAAATGCTAAATTGAGATCCGCTGTTTAGATGCGCCCTTGAATAGCATTGAAAGGGGAAGCGCATTTGCTGCCGAAAATGACGTAGTTAATATCTAGACAGGTTAAAGTCCGTCGCTAGTGCTACGTTCAAAATCTGTTCCCTCACCCCGGGATCGTCGTATTTCCATTTTCGATACCAATCAACATCATATAGTTACTCCTCTTTCCCATGCATTGGTTAGTATTTGTGTGTAGGTCGCGATATTAACTCATCAATGTGAAAGTAAACTATGCGTGATGGAGAAAGTATGTCAGTGTGAGATTCGATGCGCGTATAGTCATCCAATACTTCCAGCTGCACTAGTCACGACAGAACCACACGGCAGGGGCGAAGAACCGCTATATTGATCTTCTATCCAAGCCAGCTCAATCCAATATTCGACAAAACAGTCAGAAAAGGCATGCTTGCTAGCGCTATCTTAAGTCAGTTTCGAATTTCATTTTCAAATGCCATCTAATGGAAGAAGTTGGAAAAAGAGAATCAACCCAACTTGGGCATAACATACAGAGGCGGAGCCACGCCGGCAAAGGGAATAGCCGATTGAACGACGATGAAGCAAAGTGTAACCAGACGAAGAAGCGAACCAGGTATGGGATATCAGTAGAACAACGAATGTGAGAGTGAATAGTCGTAAGAAAGGAAAGGTAATAGCCCCGGGGCGAGCTGCGCATGGAGGCTTGCCACAGAGACGCTGAAATTTGATGATGGATCTTTCTTGGCGGAGCTTCTATGCTCATTGATCTTTGGAAGGACAGAGTTAGCAAACGAGATGCTGAAAAGCCGCTCGGCTATGTCCCGAAACGTAGACGTCCTATCATTCGAGTTCAGCAGCCCATGCATCTCCGCTCTTCACTAGCGATCACCTCGACGAGATCTGAGCTGCAGCGATCTCAGCAACCTCATCTTCCGGTCTCATTCTCAAGCCGCCTTTGACCTGAATGCCTTGCTGAACCCAGTCCAGCTTCTCAATGTCCTCCAGGCTCTTGCGACCACGTGAGGCCTTCTTCAGCAGACCCTCGACGCACTCGCGAGCGCCAGCCCACTCGTTGCCCTTTTCCGCATCCCACTCGCCGTCTTCGTCACCGAATTTGACCCAAGACCAATCGCATCTGGCGATACGGTGAGCGGCTCTACTACGAGACGCGGCCTTGCCTGGCGGTGGATCAAAGGGCAAACGTCCTTCCATGAGAGCATAGAGCAGGACGCCGAGCGCCCAGGCATCGGTTGAACGGCCGTCATATGGCTGACCGAGGAGAATCTCTGGAGCAGCATAATCTTCACTACCGCATCGTGTTGTCAAAAGAGGCGACTCGGGAGGAGCAGGGATGCGTCGTGAGAGGCCGAGATCCGTGAGTGTCGCTATGGCATGCGGATGGCACTGTGGGTTCTTGAGTAGAGGCACGGTAGACACAGGAATATTGAGAAGGACGTCTGGATGTCATTAGTACAGAGTAGAAGCGAAGAAACGTACCAGATGAAGTGTGGCAAGGTAAAGAGAATGGAAGCAGTACTTTCTAGCTTGATGTCGCGATGCACAATAAGTTGGGTATGCAAATAACGCACAGCGCTGACCATTTCGGCGAAGACGCGATGGACGATGTCGAGAGTCAGCTTATCGCGATGGTCACTGGCTACATCAAACAGATCACCACCGGGACAGTAGGTAAGGACAATAAGAGCTTGGGCGTCATCGTGATCGAAGGCTTGGAGATGGACAAGAGAGGGGTGCGATACTGATCGGAGCATTTCGACCTCTCGCTTGAGGCTTAGTTCTACGCGCTCTTCGTCGGCACCCCCGGCAGGGCCATGCTCGACGACCTTGATGGCGACCAGTTTCCGTGGATCCAAAACGTTCTCATCGAGAGGGTCCTTTGCTTTGGTCTTCTCACAGGTTGCGAGGTAGACTTTACTGAAGGTGCCCTGCCCCAGTTGGCGGACAGGGCGCCAGAGCTTCTTCGTCTTTTGAGGGCCACACCGCACCACTATATATTGAGTCTTGTCATCTTCGGTCACGTCGTCTTCCTCGGTGTCGGTAACACTGCGGTTGCTTGCGTTGCTCGCGGGCGGGGTGGGAAGGCCGGCTGGCACATTGGCGGGGACGAGGCCTCGCTGCGTCGCCAGATATGTCTCGCGGTTCATGCGCTGCTGCATGGCGGGGTCCGTGTCGACGACCGAGACGTGCCGAGGACGGGTGTTGTGCATTGAATCCGGGGTGTACTCGCTGATGCTCCTGTTGCGCTCGCGAGCAGCCTCGTTCCTCTGCTGCGAGTTTGCGGCGGCCGCCTCCATGGCAGCGGCCTTCAAGCCCGAGTAGCCCTTCTTCTTGAGCGAGGGCGAGGGCGACAGGGTGCCCTTGGCGAAGATGGCGAAGGCGTCGTCGCGCGAGGCGGCCGAGATGCCGCGCGAGCGAGGACGATGGTCGGCGCGCTGCCATGGGCCGGGCGAGTCGCCCATGACCAGGGGCGAGGGGAGCGGGGTGATGTCGCCCAGGGCAGCCAGCGCTGGCGACGAGATGGCGGACGAGGGCGACAGCGAGCCGAGACTGGCAGTGGACCAGGCGGTCCTCAGATAGCCGCTGTCCTGGATGGCAATCGGCGCCGTGGCCGACTGCCGCAGCGCGTCGCTCCCGCTGGGCTCCAGATTGGCGGGGTCGAGGGAGCGTGCCGAGTTGGGGTTCGAGGCGATGGCGAGGTCCGTGTCGAGCTTCAGCGCCGTCGACGGGGCGCGGACGTGATATCTGGGCAGCGAGGGATCCGTGGCTGCCGTGCCGGGCGCGAGGTCCGCCGTCGTCAGCGTCGATGTCGGGCGGGCAGTGTCTGGCGTCGCCTGCGTCTTCTGCGTCGTGTCGGCGCGGGCAGGCGCCCGTGGGAGTGCAGGGCTGGAGGACGCGAGACCCGGAGAGGATGGCTCTGGGTCCTCCATGGTGTTGTGTCACGGCGGCCAAGGTCCAGTAGTCTGTCTGCGGGCAATGCCACCCGTGCACCTCCATGCACGTGCGCCTCCGCTACCCTTAGCGCCTCTCGTCTCAGCGTCGGTCCCATCCCAGCACACTGGTCCACGGCACCGACTCCCTGACTCTTGAACAGTCCTCCCGCGAAGCCACTGCCGACTTCGACCTCGAGGCGTGCCGTCAGTCACCAGAGCGACATGGGGCCGTTTTGGGCTTCCGAGCCAGCCAGCCAATCGCAAGCGAGCCTCCGACAACGTGAACTCGCGCCCTCACACGGCATGTCATGCTGAGTCTGATCGCGAGTGTCTACCAATTGACTCCAAGCGGCATGATATCGAGCCTCTCGCCATCCCCATGTTGGGAACTCGGCACGGGCCTGGCGTTGCCTTGCTTACCTTTCGCATATCCCGCGGCTGTTCGCTGACATATCCTTTCATTGCATCCTCTCTTATGGACGTCGTTGTCCAGAGTGTTCATCTCCGCTGCCACCTATGCTTTCGTTTGGACGAGTCGGAAATGCGGCGTATCGCGATGTACCCGGAGTCTATGTACGTGGTGGCTCGGACCCTACCATCTTCTCTTGTATCTGACAAGTCTGTCAGACACATATTGCCGACCCCAATGAGCGCCGGCGGATGGCCCTCGCCGAGGTAGACAAGGCGCCCTTCGGCTGGTATCATATACGACTAGCAGTCGTGACAGGCATTGGTTTCTTCACCGATGCGTACTCTGTGAGTCTGACAGTAACATGAACGACAATGCTGAAAGCTGACTAACAATATCTTCAGCTGTTCGCCATAAACCTAGCTGTCATCCTGCTAGGAATTGTGTACTGGCAAGATACGGAACACCAGGGCGTCATGCCCCATGATGCCGATACAGCCATCAAAGTCGCTACGTCCGCCGGCGCCATCTTCGGCCAATGTATCTTTGGGTACTTGGGCGATGTTCTAGGAAGGAAGAAGATGTACGGAGTAGAGCTGATGATTATTATCTGCACAACACTCGCACAATCGCTTTGCGGTGAATCAGCGACCCTTTCAATCGTGGGTGTGCTCATCTTTTACAGAGTTGTAATGGGAATCGGCGTCGGTGGTGACTGTACGTACACGTTCCATGCAACGGTTCCATATCCTCTTGTCGATGATACGCTAATTATACATCAGACCCGCTTAGTGCAGTTATTACGGCAGAATTTGCCAGTACCAGATATCGGGGAGGCATCATCGCCGCCGTTTTCGCCATGCAAGGCCTCGGTCAACTTGCAGCCGCCTTAGTAACTCTCATCGTAGTCATAGTCTACAAAGACCACTTGATCGTGGTAGCTAACGTTGGAGAATGCGTCGGGCAGTGCTCCATGCACGTTGACAAGATGTGGCGCATTATCATCGCCTTCGGTGGCATTCCCGCCTGGTTCGCGCTTTACTACAGACTCACAGTACCGGAAACGCCACGATACACGTTTGATGTGCTGTACGATGTTGAAAAGGCCTCAGTTGATGCGCGAAAGTACCGCTATGGTAAGCAGGGTAACGTGGTCAATCCAGTCACACAGGCGAAGGCGCGTAGCGAGATGGCCAAGTACAAGACGCCGCGGCCTACGTTGATGGAAGTACTGCGGTTTTACTCACGGAAACGCCAAGCTATCCGCCTATTCGGCACCTCTATGTCCTGGTTGTATGTGCAGCAATTTACTACTTTAGCTATAGAACAAGCTGACATTCACACAGATTTTTAGACATGGCCTTCTATGGTCTTGGCTTCTCCTCTGCATCACTGATGTCGACTATGGGCTTCGACCAACGCGCAAACCTCTACCTCTACCTACGCAACATGGCCACAGGGCAAATTGTGCT